ACTAATTAGTTCTACCAAACAAAGAATAATTAACACCATTTTTTCTCAAACTCTTCCAATAATCAAAGCAAAGAGAATACTTTCTAACTAATTCTATGAGGCCAGGAGTATTCCAATATCAAGACCAAAGACACTACAAACAGAAAAACTTGACAAACTACAGACTAATATCCCTTATGACTATTGATGGAAAAAAAAAAAAAAAACTCAACAAAAACCTAGCAACCCAAATTCAACAGCATATTATATGATATATAAATGTTATATGTCAAATATATTTCAATTAAATAAATAATAGCATTTGACAAAATTCAATACTCTATAATGATAAAAAATACTTCTTCAACATGATAAATAGACCACATATGAAAAACCAAGCTATGAATATGAGAGGTCTATTTATTTATGTCTCCTATAATTTCTTTCAGCAGTGTTTTGCAGTTTTTAGTGTACAAGTCTTTCTCCACCTTGGTCAAATTTATTTAAAACATATAGCTAATACCAGACTCAGTGGTGAAAAGCCAAAAGCTTTCCCTCTAAGAGCAGAAAATAAAAACAGACAGAATGTCTGCTTTCACCACTTCTATTAAACATAGTATTAGGTGTTCTAGATAGAGCAATTAGGCAAAAAAAAAAAATTAAAAGCATCCAAATAGAAAAGGAAGAAAATTATCTATTTGCAGATAATGTGATCTTATACATAGAAAACCTTAAAGATTTCACACACACACCAAAAAGAAACTATCAGAGCTAATAAATGAATTCAACAAAGTTCCAGGACACAAAATCAACACGTAAAAATCAATTGCATTTGCTACTTACTAGCAATGAACAATCTAAAATGGAAATTAACAAAACAATTCCAGCCCAGCCTGTATGGCTCAGTGCTTGAGCATTGAGCTATGAACCAGGAAGTCTTAGTTCAATTCCTGGTCAGGGCACATGCCCAGGTTTTGGGGCTCAATCCCCATAAGAGGGCACGTAGAAGCAGCTGAACAATGATTCTCTGTCATCATTTTTGTTTCTATCTCACTCCCTCTCCCTTCCTTTCACTAAAATAAATAAAAATATATTAAAAAAAAAAAAAACTCCATTCACAATACATCAAACAAAAAAATACTTAAGAATAAATTCAACCAAGGTGGAGAAAGATTTGTAGACTAAAAACTACAAATTGCTGCTGAAAGAAATTAAAGATGTAAATAAATAGACCCCTCATGCTTATAGGTTGGAACGAAATATTAAGATGACAATTCTAGGCCTAGCTGGTGTGGTTCTTTGGTCAAAGTATCATCCTGTTCACCAATAAGTTTTTAAATGAAATGTGAGTCTTCCAAATTTAAGGGATCGTGAGTTCGAGCCCACATTTGGGCACACATCCAGGTTGTGTGTTGGATCCCCAATCAGGGTGAGTGCGGGAGGCAGCCAATCCATCTTTCTCTCTCCCCCGCCCTCTCTTTTCCTGTCTAAAACCAATAAAAGCATACCTTTGGGTGAATATTAAAAAAATAAAATAAAAGACAATTTTATACAGATTGATCCACAGATTCAAGGCAATCCCTATCAGAATCCCAATGGTGTTTTTTTGTTAAAGTAGAAAAACCCATAGTAAAATCTATATGGACTCTCAAGGGACCCCCCACATAGCCAAAACAATCCTTAAAAAGAACAAATTTGGAAGACTCACATTTCATTTCAAAACTTGTTACAAAGCTACCATAGTCAAAATAGTGTGGTGCTGACAGAAGGACAGCAGACAGCCCAGAAAGAAGTCAGACACAAAATGGAAAATATTTTATGATTCTACTTGTATAAGGCATCTAGAATAGGCAAATTCAGGGGCAGAGAATAGAATTAGGGCTATTAAAAGCTGGGGCTTACAGATAAATAAGGAGTTATTTCAAGATAATGAAAAAGTTCTGGAAATTGTGATAGTTACACAGCATTGTGAATGTACTTACTGCCACTGAATTATACACTTTGTTTATTTTGCCACAGGAAAATGAAAATGGGAAGGTGAAAGATGAGACAGTGGGCCGAAAACCAGGACTACAGGCTTTATATAGAGAAGGCTCCTACTGGGTTGCCTCCCAAAGGAAGAGAGCACACGTGCAGGAGTGAATACGCCTTTTGAGGGGAGGAATGGGAAGGGATGGGGCTTAGGGTACTCGGCACACGCTGATTGGTTTCATATAAGGCACATGATTAGGCACTTAGGTACTTAGGAATCGGGGGCTTAGGGTATTTGGCAGGTGCTGATGGTGGTTCAATGTACAGTCCATATAAGGTGCCTGGTTAGGTGCTCAGGAATGTCCAGGCCACAAGCGCAGTTTACGTCATACTCCATTCATCAGTTGTGGGAAGGGAGGATCTATCATTCTAGGCTTTTGGTAATATTATAAAAGAAAAGAAAAATTGAGAGTCCTGGCAAGGTCGGGGGCTGAAGGTTCATTTTCCATAGCTACTTCCTGATGAGAGGGGGCGTCGTTAGGGGCGTCTACCCAGGGTCTAAAGGATTCTGGTGCTAGGTTATGAATTCAGGGCCAGATAGATCTCTCCCACCTCTGGCTGATAAACACCTGCATTCTGTTCTGCAAAAGACTATCGAAACAGAGCATGAGAAAGGGGGTAAAGAACAAAATTAAAGGAATTTTTGTTCTTTACCCCAGTGGGCCTAATGATGGGAGGAGCCATGGGGTGAGCAAAAAACAGGGGGTGTTTTCCATGCTGAATGACGGTGCAGCAGCATGGTTTCCCCAAGGGACTGGATGGTGAAGTCTTGAGAGCAATCCTGTTGAGTCACTTGGGAAGGAAAAGCTGGTCCTTAGGCTGCCACTGTGTAACTTGTCTGATTTTGCTGCTTTTCTGGGCCTGGAGCTGAAATATAACCTGGGGGTAAGGTTCTTGAGGAAGACCAAGGCCCCCGAATGGAGGGCTGGTCCTCGGGAGTCTTGGTCGGCTGGTCCTGGCCTGGGCAGAAACCTGTCAGCATGTTCCCAGAGCCGTTGCCTGAGGAAGGGCAGGAATGAAAGATAAGAAGCCAGGAGAGGAGGGTGAGTAGGGAGACGTGTCCAGGGAGGGGCTGCAGAGAAGGAGATCTACCTCCTGGAGAAGAGTGCTGGGTCCTAAGGAGCATTGTCGGAGGTCTCCGGGGAAGACCTGCCAAACGGAGGAGGACTGTCTCTGAACCCCGGGACAGGACCGTCCAGGTGAGTGGGTCCTCTTACAATTGTCAACAGGTAACTTCAGAACTTTCTTTCTTTCTTTCTTCTTTCTTTCTTTCTTTCTTTCTTTCTTTCTTTCTTTCTTTCTCTTTCTTTCTTTCTTTCTTCTTCTTTCTTTCTTTCTTTTCTTCTTTCTTCTTTTCTCTCTCTTTCTTTCTTTCTTTCTTTCTTTCTTTCTTTCTTTCTTTCTTTCCCTTCCTTCCTTCCTTCCTTCCTTCCTTCCTTCCTTCCTTCCTTCCTTCCTTCCTTCCTTCTTCCTTTAAATATTTCTGAACATGTCTAGCAATTAATCTTTCGATATTAAATGCTATTTAAAATATTTAGAAAAGGCAGGGGGAGGGAGGAACAGGCCTCTAACTGCTTGAATTCAAAACTGACACTTTTGCCGGGACCGGTTTGGCTCAATGGATAGAGCGTCGGCTTGGGGACTGAAGGGCCCCGGGTTCGATTCTGGTCAAGGGCATGTACCTTGGTTGCGGGCATATCCCCAGAAGGGGGTGTGCAAGAGGCAGCTGATCGATGACTCTCTCTCATTGATGTTTCTAACTTTCTATCTCTCTCCCTTCCCCTCTGTACAAAAATCAATAAAATATATATTTTTTTTAAAAACTGACACTTTTTTTCCTAGAGATAAAGATCTAAGTTTCTGATAAGCGTGTGCCAGCAAGAAAGTTGTTCTCTAGAAAGGGTGGAGTGGGGGAAAGGGTGGGTGAGAAGGCCAGAACAGTTGTTTTTTTGGGTTTTTTTTTTCCAGTCAATTCCCATGACCGAGGTCGTAGAAGGGAAAAATGGCCCGGAAAAAGGAGGGCAGGACAGAGGAGGTAGCCCCCGGATGGAACAGAAAGGAGACCTGTTTACCTGCTACCCTGAGTATTACCCTGGCTCAGCGAGGGTGATGGGGGCCGTCGAGTCCTGGCATCTGCAGTCTTCAGCCAGTTCCAGCATGGCCAGCAGCGGGTCATGACCTGGAAGGGCGGCCCCTCTATGCTGAGATACAGAGGGCCCGTCACTTTTCCAGGGGCATTCACTTTTCCAGTGGCCAGGCAGGGCTTGGTTGGAGCCAGGGGCTGGGGCACTGCTTTGCCCAGTGGCCTTCATGTCCACATTTGAAGCATCCTCCAGGTGGCGTTCATCCTCTCGTCGCACCCCCACCACGCACAGTCCCCTTTGGACCATGCATGGCTGCTGTGGGCCTCAGAGCTGCTACCAAGGCTTGAGCTTGCAGACTCACCTTCTGACAAAGGCTGCTCCTCTCAGGCATTAAAACCTTAAATGCCTTGTTCGGGTCTCGGACCTGGGTCTGAGAAGGCATTCGGGGAGGGAGTAGAGGACCAGGTAGTGGGCCATGGGCTGGAGGAGAAGGGCGGTGGCGGGTGGTCACACCAGGCTGGGCCTGTGGGGGCCTAACTTACTGGGCCAAGATGGCGGCCCCCATGGGAACGGCAGGCCACGTGGTCAGAGAGGGGTGGGACTTGTCACTTCAAGATGGCGGCCCCCATGGGAACGGCAGGCCATGTGGCCAACATGGCGGCTGCTCACAACACAAAACAGAAATGTCACTTAGCCGTTTGGAGCGGCTGGTGGGCGGGTGGCTCTTGCGCGGTGCGGTGGCCCGAGGCGGCGATGGTGGCTCCCGCAGCAGTGGCGGCCACAGGGAAGGGGCGGCCAGGAAAGGGGCAGCTGTGGCGAAGGAGGAAGAGAGAGAGCAAAAAGCAGGTGGTGGAGGGAATGCGAGGGGTGAAAATGAGAGAGCATGCCGAAACCCGTTTGGCTCAGCGGTAGAGCGTCGGTCTGCGGACTGAAAGGTCCCAGGTTCGATTCCGGTCAGGGGCATGTACATTGGTTGCGGGCACATCCCTGGTAGGGAGTGTGCAGGAGGCAGCTGGTCGATGTTTCTCTCTCATCGACTTTTCTAGCTCTCTCTCTCTGTCTCCCTTCCTCTCTGTAAAAAATCAATAAAAAAATTTTTTTTAATTAAAAAATTTAAAAAAAGAAAATGAGAGAGCAGCTGGGTCCAAAGAGTCAGAGACAAAGGGGCTGAGGACCAGTTTGAGGGGGTTTCTCTTTAACCTGGGCTGTGGAACAGAAAGAGCAGCGGGAGGGGCAGGAGCGCTGATAGAAAAAAAAAAAAAGCCTGGACATATGGGACCTCGGGCCACCTCTCAAATTTCCAGCAGAAATTACTGAGGTCAGTGAGGATGTTAAGTCCAGCGTTTGGGTCATTCGGACCCACTGAGGCCATGCCACGTTACAGAAGTAGCCAGATTGGTGAGGAGACATCCTAGAGGTATCTTTGGTGGTTGTCCATTCCAATTTCTGGGGCCGGGTAGCAAAAGGACAAGGACCAGCGTCCCAGTCCTTGATCCAATGCTGCAAGGGGTAACCCCAGGGACAGTAGGGGGTGTCTCCCCTACCCCCTGGGGTCCGGGATGAGGCCAAAAGGCTGGAGAACCGAGGGAAACAGGAATGTCTCATGGAGAGGCCCAGAGGGCTATGCCCAGAAGGCAATCTTACACGGGCCGTTGTTTATGGACAGAGATGCCAGAAAAACCTTTAGGAATTAGCACGGGCTGGCACTCACCACTGACACTACCGAGCTTAGAATATGCACCCACCCAGGTTTCAAGGCACCAGATGTAAGATTCGAGGCACAGGAAACTGGAGTTGGAGACCAAGACATGTTAAGGAGGAGGCTTATTCTGCAGTAATGAGCGAGGTTCATTAAGGAGGCAGAGAAACTAGGATTAAAGGAAGGGGAGGAGGAGAAAGAGGGACCCAACCGGCTGTCTCCGCAGACCAAGAGATGGAGAGAACAGTGGCAATGGAGGGGTGGAGATGGCCTTTTGAGGGAACAGGAATGGGTTGGGTTGAGCCCCAGGGCATTTGGCACGAGCTGATGGATGGTTCAGCAGATGCCAGTAAAGTCATAACTCTGCCCACCAGTTAGGAGGAGGATCTTTCAGGTCTAATTTTAAGATGGCCTTCAATGATCTCTAACTCCTGGAATTCATGCCCTTGTGTTAAGTCCCTCCAATTGAGTATAGGCTGGACTTAATGACTCACTTCCAACAAATGGGATAAGGCAAAAGTAGCAGTCTGTGGCTGAAGGGTCTATGTCATCAAAGGTTGTGTCATCACTTTCTCTCCTTTGTAACACTCATTTGAAGGAAGCTATCACCATGTTATGATAGAGCTCCGAGGGCAGGTCCACACAGTGAGGAACGAAGCACCTGTCTATAGCCCTGTGTGAGCTTAAAAGCAGGTCTTCAGCTGTCCAGCACACAAATGTCTCAGCCCAGGTAACATCATAACTGCACTACTCCAAGGGCTCCTGAGACATCACACTATCCTGCCCCTGGATTTCTGCCCCTCAGATATGTGATAGTTGTTTCAAGCTGCTAAATTCTGTTATACAGTAATAGGTAACTAATACCAGAAGTAGGGGTAGAGGATATGGGGAAAACATTTAAGCAAGAGTCCAAGCATCATGAAAGAGGATAATCACTAAAAGCTAGTATGTTCAGGTGCTTCATATTTTTTAAAAAAGGTTTCTTAACTCGGTCACTTAGTGTGTAATGAATAGACTTTAAAATAAAAAGAAAGAAGAGAAAATGTCAATTTTTAAGGGATAAGCTTGCACAGGATACTAAAATGGCTTGAAACAATTTTATTGGCATTAAAAATTTTTATTTGGAATTTAATCCACAATCTATACAAGTTATTTACAAGGCATGGAAATGGAAAACAGCACAAAATACAATTGAGGTATAAGCTAAGAGCACAGTATGTCATGTTTCAATAAATATAATTCAAAATTTGTAAACTAAGTGACCAGATAGATGAGTCGTTTTATAGTAAAACCATATAAAATATCTATTTCATGTGAGGTAGAGGACAGTTTTGTGTCATGTAATACAACCAACCACAGCAATTTTAACCATAAAACTGTACATCATTGGCAAAATTTTATATTGAATTATGGTTAATGTAGTCAACAATTTGTTTCAACAGTTGCAGAACAAGTATTTCATTTACTGCCTTCACAAATTTCAAAATTCAAAAGTAATTTAAGACTACGGTGTTGGCTTAATATTATCAGGATAAAGAAATACTTATAACAGGATGGTTAAAAACAAGAATATTTTATTTCTCCCAAACTATAATCCCCCAAAAAGTGTCCTAGATTTAGTAATTTAGTAGGACGTTTTCACTAGAACTACTTTAAGTATGCTGTGCTTTATTTTCAAGTTGAGGTATCTATATTGAAGAAAATCTTTAAAATTTTACATTCAACTAATTTAATACACTTTTGTTTACTGGGATTTACTTTTAAATTTCAGTTTTTACATTTGATCACTTTCTAATTCAAAAACAGTAGCACTATATAAGACATTTAATTATATTATTTAAAAAACAGGCCCCAATTGCATTATGTAGTTTAAAGCCATTTAAAATGGAAAGATTTTACAAACAAAACAAAAAGACTGTCCTTTTAAACAAGATGCAATATAGAATACCTATATAAATTTTCCCAATGAAAATGCACAAGTATCCTATTCTAGAAAAAAATTAAGCTGTTTATTCAATCCCACAATATATAATACATCAGTAATGTGTCCCTTATTGCTGATAGCTTCAATTAAAAACTATTAACATGTAGTTCCAAGCACAGAAATAGATGTACAGTCTGAGCACAGCTTTTCATTATTTTTAATGTCCTGTCTTGCAGATTAAATTCATAAGACCAAATAAAAATGAGGATTGTTCCCTAAGTCTTTTCGTTGAAAAGAAAATTTTAGAGCTGATCCAAAGCCTTCAGTACCAGCTTTACAATTAATTTTAGGGAACTACGTTAAGCATGTTATTCATTTATCATTTTACTTTCCCTCAAACAGAGGCCACAGATGTGCAAATAAATTGGTGGTTCTGTCATGACTTCAAATGAATAATCTGCAAATTTGTACTCAGTCTATTTCATCTATTTTAGTAATTGGTTTTTAATTCAATATGTACAAATGATTTATATTCCAACTGGTAATATATTAAATATACTATAAAATTAGTTCAAGAAGCATGAAACATCCTAATTCTCATGGGCACAGAAATTCAAGCAAAAGAATATGCTTTACAAACATAAAGCGCAAGCCAAACTTACGTTGTCAGTCAAATCCTTTCATAGTGTTACAAGTTAATTTGTGAAATTAGGGTGGTTTCGAGCTTCCTCAATGACAGCAGATTTTACATTTACTACCTTTATAGATTTGGTACCTTTTCCTCATAGAGTACAGAAATTGTTATCACCCAAATTAAACATCACCTATCACCCAGTAAGCTAATATTGTTTCTTTCCTTCCTTCTAAAGATGCTTTAGCACTTTGTTAGGCTGTTCCTTTAATGCAGCTTTTTAAAGTAACAATTTTTATATTTTTCCTAAAAAGTGTTATGATAAAAATCTGAGGAAAAATCTGCTTGCCTAATGAATTAGCACTCAAAAAACACCAAAACAAACTTTAAGATAGCAATCAACACGCAAAATGAGCATGCAAAGAATAGAATAAGTTTATATGGGTAAGATAATTTAGCAGAGGCCACTTTTAAAGCATTACAAAATCTCTGTATTTTCAAGTGATGGGGTACAGTTTAACTTAAAAATACTTTTCACCAGAATAGGTTTATTTACAATTGACTAAAAAAACTATATTCAAGGAAGTTAGACAGAAACCTACGGCAACATCAATGTATCTTAGGGAAAATGAAGACTATACATGTGACAAGTTTTTATTATGTGAAGGACCAAAAAATATATATATATATATTTCACTCAATTCTAAATTAAGGGTTTATGATCATTTACAAGTATTTAAGCACTATTTAGAATTTTATAGTAACATATTTCAAAAATTAAGCACTTTAGAAGTTTTGGGTTGAAACTTAAGCAAGCTTATCACTTACTAAGTAACATGAGTAGAAAGATTTTGAGTGAATTAGAATAAAAGAAAATTATAAGAGCTTAAGTTAAGTCACCCAAAAATCTTAGCTGTGACACAACTGATTCACAACTAAAATGAAACTGTATCATAGAATGTCTCTGTGATTTTTCATTCTCCAATTTAAATAAAAAGTATTAGGAGGGTATGTCATTTTTAACATTGTTCTCGTATGTCATTTTTTAACATCTGTTCCTCCTTAAGGAGATTCCAAAAATCAACAAATTGCAGGATTAATATAGCAAAATTTAAATGGTAAATAGAAAATACACATTTGGTTCACACTAGTGAAAAAACTATACTTTGAGAATTATAAAATCCTTTTAGGATATATTAGTAGCATTAAGTAAAATATGAAAATAACTGGTTAAATGATAATCTACTGATTTTTGAAGTTCTATACCATTACAGTACCTATCATCTATGCTGGGAATAGTATATAACCTTAGCTAATTTATTTTAAAAATAGATTTAGCTCTTCAAGTAATTTCATTCAGTACCTTAGGCAAGAACATGAGAAACATAAAATTCATGGGATAATAATGTCAATTAATAGTAGCTTCAGGAAACTTCCTTTAAAAAAATGCATACTAAAAATTTCACCTAATATTTCTTAAGCCAAGAATTAACTAATATGAACTTTGCCATTAAAGAATGACACTTTTCTGTGCAAAAAGGAAAAAAAAAAAAAAAAAAAGTGCAGATGTTGCCCCTCTCCTAAACTATGGGATTCCTATCTCCTAAAAATTATCTAAAAATCCTGTAGCATAAACTTTCCTAAATTAATCTATCACACACTCTA